AAAGACACACTGCTTATCACCTCATTACTGGAACAAATTCTGGGGAGGGAACCCAACCCTAAACCTTCCTGATCGACAAAGGCAGCAAGCAATAAGGAAGAAGTGTGTAAACTTTTTTTAAAAAACTTTTTTTAAAAAACCAATGAATGCACTGCTGATTGAAGAAACGTCAGGCAGGCAGAGAAGGTGGAAGTAAATATGAATGTTTTAATGCACAGAACAACCTGTCAGGACCCTGCTAAAAGATGGCTGCGTGAACAGCAAGTTCTGTAAACTCAAGAGCATTTTGTGTTTGCATTCATCACTCTTTCCAAGGGTCTCTAGCAAAGCCTTTGTCCCTGCCTCGTGTTAATTGTTCCATCTCTTCCCTCCAGGATGGTGCCTCTTGTTTGGCTCCTTGCTTGTTAAACACATTTTCTGGGACATAGTTCTTCCTGGGCAAATGAGTCCATCCTGAAGGGCAGTAGGGATTATCCTACCCATCACTGTTGTGTCCCCCTCCCCAGCTGTTTTGATTTTCCCTCCCCTCCCTCTCCATCTCTTTCTCTTTACTTTTGATCACATAATCTAGGCATTTAGTAAGGACAAAAGAGAGAGGGAGGGAGGGAGGGAGGAAGAAAGGGGAGGAGAGAGATTAAAAAGGAGAGACACTTTTAAAAAAACTGAGCAAAATTATGTACTTCCTTTTTAAAAACAATAATAATAATAGTTGAAAAAAGGAAACAAACAAAAAAAGAAGTCTTGCTGATCTCTCAATTTGCAACTTTCCATGAAGTCCCATGTGGTTTTTCATTCCTCTTTTTTGCTTCAAATTTCCAAGATGCCACAAGTCACCACCACAGTAGAGATTCTCATCGTGCGCTTGCCTGGTCCGTTGCATCCTCTCATCGCCCCTTCGACTCACCATACATATTGCGCAGCATGGAGACCATTTTCTCCTCACATGTGATTTTGGTGTCCTTTAAGATGTTGTACCACACCATGCCAGGTGGCCTGACCTCCTCGCTGCGGCAGAACAGGTACGGCATGGTGTCCGTGCGGCTCTGGATGTAGGCGCTGCGGAGCAAGGTTGAGCAGTGGCTGCTGACCTTCTCCAGCCTCCTCAGGATGAGGTGAGCTTTTCTGGAAGGGAAAACGGGACAGTCTGAGACTACACAGGAGAAGGATGCCAGGTGTGGAAGTAGCAGCCAGGGCAACCGCAGTTAGCGGCTGACATCGTCTGTTGATACGCTGGGGCTCCCCAAACGCTTCCTCAATTCAGGGCCAAAATGCTTCCATTTCTTCCAGAGTTTGGGGAAACTTTGTTTTAGGGCCAAAATGTCCACACAACCCTCGACTCTGTCCATTCTGATTGCTTATTACCCCCACCCCCAAACTTAAGTTTGACTGTCTACGTTTCCACATCAGTTTTAGATAGAGATAGTGTCATCTTGGAAATTCATCAGCATTTAATGCACATTTCTCCTGAGACACAAACATCCTGAGATTTTTGTAAACAACTAACCCAAATATAATTCAGTTTAGTATGTTATTGTTCCTACCATATGCATTTCTGTTCCATACCTAGTCTATGCACATTTCTTGGTTGGGGAAATCCACTGCAAAATTCTGAGAGGCTGGCCTGCATTTTGGTTTGCATATTGCTTCAGAAAGTGTGAATTAAGACAGGTTTGCCTGTGAATGTGAAATGAAACGGATTTCTCCCCCATCTCCAGCACACTTGTAAAAGTGCAAGGATGTGAAGCCAGCATCAGTAGGCTGCCCCAAATTAGCAGGTGCTAGTGTTTCCCCCCCCCTTCGTAGACCTGTATTTCCTTGATTGCAGTTGCTCTCTAAGCAGTGCTGACTTTGTGGTGAGAAGAAAGTCAAAGAGGAACGGTCAAGTGCAGTGAACTTGAAAGAGGTGACAGGCCAAGGGTCAGAAGAAAGCACTCTGGAGACGCTGCTAAATCAAAAGGAAGTGTTTACTACAGTGGTTTGAAAGCTCCAAGACTATTGATTATTCTCCTCTCCCTCTGGTGCCACAGTAAAGCTCTGGGTTTCAGCTTTGGGGTTTCCCAGCAGGAATGTAAATTCAAGCTAATGACATATCAGGAGCAGAGCTCTCAGTCATCCAAGTCTAAACAGGGGAATTATTTGATTATGGGGAGCTTTGTGGGGTTTTGAAGCTCAGAGTTGCCAGCTAAGATGTTTTGTAAAAGGAGTTGGGCTATTTGTTGATGTGTGCAGAACAGAGGTGCCAGCTTCTGGGGGCTGAGCCCCTTTGAGGGGCCCAATATTTGGGGAGTTAGGCTGCCCCCCCCCAATGTCCAAAAACTATTCAGCTGAGTGCAGCATGGCTTCAGTTTCCAGCTCCTTCTCCTACTCCTTCTGCCACAGAGGGGAAGGAAGGTTGAAGCAGCCTCCCACCAGCGGCAGTGCCAGAAGGAGGTGGAGGAGTCAGTGGCTATTGAAGCTGCATGGCTGGCATGTCCAGCTCCGTCCCAGGCTCCTCCTGACATCCTGACATCACATTGCAATGTCAGGACATCACACACGACGTTGGCCCCCCAAGCTGGTGCCTTTGGCACAGAGAATGGCCCCTTGGACCTTCATTCCAAGACTGAATTCCTTACGCACTGTATGAAACGGAGACAACAAAGGGCAATGGCAATGGATGCTGCTTTGTATGGGTGACTGGGACACTGCCCCACCAACCTCAGACTTCCCTCAGCCAGCCCCCAGCTGCCTGACTTCTTTAAAACACCCACCCACCCTGGTAGTCAGCTTCCTCTTCCTAAGTCTCAATGTTCCTCAGCAGGGAAGAGGATGGAGGCAAAACTAGCATTAGTATGCTCTGCCTGTCATTGGCTCTGGTTCCACCTACTCTTGGTCTCCCTGTCCTCTTCCCTACTAGTCCTAGAGGGCACCAGCCAGAGTTGGATCGAGACATTTTGCTGCCTGAGGTAAAGGACAAGATAATGTCCCATTCCATGTTCAGAAGGTGACTTAATTGCTGGCAAAAGGATAGCAGCACCCCACCCACCCAAGCACACCTGAAGGCTACTGAAGGCTAGTTTAGGGGGTGCAGGACTGGCCACCTGGCACACCCACATCTCCAACAAAGGAGAAGAATCAAGGAGTCAGTATTGCTGCTGCCACTCCTCAACAACTGCCACCTGAGTGGTTGCCTCCCTCTGCCCAATGGTCATGCACCACCCACCAATGGGCAGCTGGCAGGGGGTGAGAGATGGACAGCAAGTTGAAGGCAAACATGCATCAGTCAACAGTTATGTAGCTTGGCTGTGAAAAACTTTTGTTTATTTACATGGATGCTTAGTATTATACTTTTACAAAAGATGACTCTGGGACTTAAAAGAAGCTCAGGTTGAGAGTCATCCCCTGCTCCTTGCTGAGGATCCCATCCTTCCACTATTACCACCTGAGCAATCCCCATCATGACCGCCTGACTGTTGAGAGTTATGGTCTGCTCCCATCCCCACAGCCCCCTGGAAGGGTCCACTGCTTGCAAGGATCCTCAAGGGTGTGGTTTACAGGAAGCAGCCATGACTGGATGGGACAAAGCAGGCTGGGAGAAGCAGCAGCACCATGCAAGAGTAAATCTAGAAGGGAGAACGGGTTGGAGAGAAGGAGGAGAAAATGGAGCCTTCAGAGACATTCGTTATGACAAGCTCCCTTTCAGCAAAAGTTGGAAGATTGGGAATATTGAGGCCAAGCTCCTGGTGTGATTCACTTATGTGAAAAGGTTAATGAAGTAATGTGTAAAGGTTAGGCTTATCTTTGGCTGACATCTCCCCTCTCCTGCCACCACCCCTCCCCCCTTTAAGGAAGAAGAAGACAAAGGAAAGAGAAGGAAGGGAGAAGGAAACAGGGAAGACAAGAGCAAGGTACCTCCTGGAGAAGGCAAGGAAATCAATTAGAAAAGCAGCCAGGACAGCGCCATAAATCATGTGCTGGGTTCTCTCCAAGTTCTCCCTGTGGAAGTTGTGGATTTTTATAAACCTGGAGATGAAATTGTCTCAAATGCTGACCTGCCTCCCACCAAACCCACTCCAGAAAACAGTAATAATCTTACACAAGTGGTAATTGATTAAGTCATTAAAGGGCAGCATCAAGAAAGGGAGGGCACTTCATGGTATGCCTTACAATGAATGTGGTGGCCAGGAGAGTGATTTAGATAGATTTCTGGGTGATTTGCAGCAGATCGTCAAGGTTTCCGGATGCCCCTGCTTTTTTAACAGTAGCAGCAACAAAATGGCCCAACCCCCAATTCCTCCTCCATTATACTTCTGAAAAGAAAAAGGGTTAGGGTAACCAACAGGGATTTTTCTGTTGAAGGGTTTGGAGATCAGTTCACTTTCTTAGCCAATTGCTTAGCATGGAATTGTTTTATTTTAGAGTTGAGTCTTTTGCGGACCTAGTGAAGAACCCCACAAGCTTGAAGTCAGCTCACTCCTGCCATACACAGACTACTTGCAGGCACTTTATCTTGCTTGTAGGCCACAGAAACCTACCTCATCTGAGGATATCTTAGGTTCAAGGTCTGGGCAGGATGGAAACCTACCATAGGTATATGGATGTCAAAATATATGAAGTTGCCTAGCAAAGTCAAGAACATGGGTTCATCTAGCCTATTGTTCATCTGCACCAGTAATTGAGTGTATTACCTACCTCAGTGCTGTGGAACTCCAATTTCCCTGGCCACCAGCTGTGCTGGCTAGGTTGATGAGGGTTAATTTATTTATGAAAAATGCTTGTATGCCACTATATCATAAAAAATGTATCAAAGAAGTTTGCTAGAATAAAAATGAGATTAGACCATGCAATAAAAGCATAAAAGAATTAAAAACAAAGATCAATAAACTGCCAAACAGCTCATTTCAGTAGCATACAAACTGACCCCTTATAGGTGTCGCAAGCTTTTGATAAGCACCACAGATGTGAGAACCTTCTCACCTCCTGTCTACTGCTGCTGCTCTTATTGTATTGTTTCAGGGACAGACCATAGCTCAGCTGTTACAGTATCTGATTTGTACCTAGAAAGCCCCAGGTTCAATCCCTGGCACCACCAGGTAGGGATGGGAGACATTCCCTGTCTGAATCCCTGGAGAATTGTTGCCAGCCAGTGCATATACTAACGAGCTAGATGGACCAATGGTGTGACTGCATAAGGCAGCTCCTTATGCTCCTACATGCCGCTTGCCCTTGGATCACAATGTGGTCAGTGCAGCTATGTTCTTGTTGTTTTCCTGGAACAAATGTTTGCTACAAATTGGGGGTCAGGAGGAACAGTGAGATTCTTGCAGTGGAGCTGGTGGAGGGCTTAAAAAGAGAGAGAGAAAGATGGCCCCAGACAGGGATTGAGGCAGGTGCAGAGAAGAGCTGGCTAGCTTCATAGCATCACGACCAAGGCCACCTATGAGCTCAGCCTTTTCCTGTCTCCTGCTGACTGAATACTGGGTCGTACTGCAAGCAGCTGTTTGCAGCAATCTGTGGCTCCTCCTGAAACTGGGCCCTGGAGGTCTTTGGTGTGATGTATTTATGCTGCAGATGCAACAGCCTCCCTGCTCACCACTAAGTTTTATGGCTCAGCATTTACTGTGGATCTGTGGATCCTCTGATAAACATTTCAAGGTAGGGAAATAAATGACCCTCTGAGAATACAAACTTTCTGCTATTAAAACTTCATTAAGAAGTGCCCCGCCCCCCAAAAAGAGTTGGCTTGCCCTTCTCCTCTTTTGGGGGCTTTGTAGATGGCCAGGGATCTTTGGGAAAGGAGAAAAGAAAATTGGATTTTTCCTAAGCAGGAGGCAAGTGCTTTTTTGGACAGTGTCAAGAGGTGTTTGAGGCCAGAATGGAGGGGCATGCACATTCAGCTCTGTGGATGCCAGACGTGTGTGACACGCCACCAAGGCTGCAGGCCAAAGCATCTCCCTGAGCAACCAAAACTTTTAAGGCAACATAAAAAATTTGGCAGTACAGGGCTGGTTCGACAATGTGCTCCCAGATTTCAGGAAGGGGTCACAAATGTAAGCTTGCTGGATATAACTACCTGGGTCCAAGCTCATCCTCACTGCGCCAGACAAAGTCCCCAAATTTCTCGTAGTGGGAGTTATAGTGATGCTGGATGCGGAAAAGCATGGAAGTGGAGACCTCCATCAGAGTGTTGTAGGCTGTCTGCTGCTCTTTCCCACTGGTGTAGCCATTGTACAAGTTGTAGATCTTGTCTGCTACCTCTGGAAAGGAAGTAGGAGAGGGGTGGGAAGGGGCAATCATCATCTAAGCACAAAGGAAGCAGATCTTGGCCCAAATGGAATGGAACAAAAATTACTTTTAGATACATTTTTGGCTTGGACCTGGAGGCTTAGAGGGTGAATGGGTTGTAGCTGGAAAAGTTTTCATGAAATTATGTCCAATATTCACCTCCTCCACCACCTTCCTCTATAAAGGAAGTTCCCTCAAACCTAGTCAAATCACTGATCTATCTAGTTTGGGATTGTCTACATCAGTTGCCAGTGGGATAAAGAGCTTGTGGCCCCAGCATGACCAATAGTAATGGATTATGGGAGCCGAACTCCAGCAGCGCTGGAAGCAGTGCTTTTGCTTTTTTTTAAAAGAAAAAAGGGTGCTGGTACTTACCATGAATTTTTCATATTAGGTGCCACACTTTTAACTAAAAAGTTACTAGTACTTGAGTACCCCCAGAAAAAAGCACTGGCCAGAAGGTCAGAGGTTGTCCACCTTTGATCTACACAAATCCAGAGTTTCAGACAGAAGTCTTTCCCAGCCCTACCTAGTAATGTACCCAGGGACCTCCTGTATATGGAGCAGCCCTACCTACCACTAAGCTATGGCCATGGCAGAATGGGAATCCAGCAGTGGAGACCAGGTCATCTCTTAGAAACATGGGGAGCTGTTTTCTGCTCTCGCTTTGGTGCATTCTAGGTAGGAAGGAAGCACTAGAGAAATGGTGCCCACCATACTAGTAGGCAGCACGTGTAACACCACCGAAAAGTTGGGCAAGCACTTTGTCACTGTTTTCAACACCCACCCTCAGTCATCAAAATCCCCACCGCTACCACTTTGCACCTTGGGAATATGGTGGAGAAGGTCTAGGGAAGAGAGAGACATTTTGGCTCAGCAGTAGTTAAGACAGGATGTGTGTGCACATCCATCCTAACAAAGCAAGTTTCTGATTTACAGCAGGCATCTGAAGGCTCCATCTAATATTAGTTCCTCACTTGCATTTTCAAGCACATGGAGGGCAAGACACACCTCTTTGAAGTGCAAGGAGGAGGTGTGAGGTTTATAAAGCAGGTGTTCAGGGTATATTGGCCTTGTATTTTCATCTGGCCTGTCCATGCTGCCAGCACCCCTACACATGTACGTGTACATGCACACACAAACACATACATATAATTCAAACGGGGAAATGTAGTGTTGGATGCAGTCCTCAGGTAACCTCCTCACAAGTTTCAATGTTAATGAGCTGAATATGCCTTGTGCCGAACTACTGGTCAGCAGATGTTGGATACAACATGTGCGAAAGGGAGGGACACTAATCTGGCCAAAGTTGCTACTGCAGATTAGTTGGGGGGTCTAATCTACTGTTCTACTATTGGGGGATCAAAGACTCCAGCTCTGGGTTGGGAAAAGACAAGGTGATGTCCACTCAAGCAAGAATTCCAGAGGAAGGATCTACCAGATTAACTGAATAATAGAATTGTAGAGTTCGAAGGGACCCCATGGGTTTCCTAGTCCAAATCCCTGAAATGCCAAATCACAGCTAAAGAATCCCTGACAAATGGTCACTCAGCCTCTGCTTAAAAGGCTCGCCAAGGAAGAAGAGTCCACCACCTTCTGAAGGAGTCAGTTACGCTGCCAAATAGTTCTTACTATCAGAAAGTTATTTATAGTCAGAATCTAATTTTCTTCTTATAGTCAGAAACTCTTTTCTTGTAACTGGAAGCCTTCAGATATTTGAACATGGCTATCTTATCTCCCCAGTCTCCTCCTTTCAAGGCTAAACATGAAACAAGGCTAAACTGTTCCTTGTAAGACTCGGTTTCCAAACCCTTGATCATCTTAGCTGCCCTCCTCTTGCAGCTTGTTAATATCCTTCTTAAACTGTTGTGCACATACTGAATATAAGAACATTAAGAAAACACTACTAGATCAGGCCAAAGGCCCATCTAATCCATCACACTATCTTCACAGTGGCCAGTTAGAACTTCATGGGAAGCCTACATATAGGTACAAATGTATTGAGAAAATGTCAACATTATTGTGAGGGCAATATCCCACCTCGCCCTCCCTACCCCGCCACCCCCGACTGGACTCAGAGCAGCATGAAGAGGCTTTCACGCCAGCTTTGACCAAAATCAACCCTGTGCAGCTTCATAACAGATGGTGGATCATACACCTCTAGACCTTGCCCTGGAAATATCTGAGCTGTGTGCTAGGTTGCTAAGAACTTGTGTGTGTGTGCAGGGGAAGGGGAAATTATGAAGGTGTGATTATGATCAATTATGACCATAACTCAGCTCTGAAGTCAAGAGCTTTTACCCTCTGCCTTGCTGTCATCCACCAATGGGCAAGCTGTTCTCAGAGTGACTGTGCTCAGCTCGGAGTGTCTTCCTCGGGTGTCCACAGCATAGAGGGTGAACCTGGAAGAGAAGAAAACTATAAGGCCTCAACCATGAAAAGTAAAGTTAACATAATATGCTGGAATGGCTGAAATTTTGGTAACCTCCATACATTCTGGTGCAAGATGTTGTCAGACTAAAGCAGGAACAGATAACCTTTCTCCTGCCAAGGACCACATTCCCTTGGGATTAATCTCTCTCTGCCTGAGGCCCCACCAATTAAGTGGGCAGAGCTAATCACTTTTCGTTTCACTCTTCCTACTACCCCACCCCTTTCACTTCCTGGTAGACTGCTCAGATGGGGACACATATCACTCTTGCCAGTGGTATGGATGGCTCACCAGTACTCAGGTGGCAAAAATATGCTGACAGTTGTGCCCTTGAAGAGGAGTGGGAACTGCTCTTTCTGAAAGCAGATGCAGATCAAGTGGGATTTGGATGGTTACTTAACGGCAAGTTGACCCCTCAAAGTTCCTTTACTTGTGGCAAAAGCAACACTCCATTCTGAGCATCTCAGCAGGTACACAATCTGTGCAGCTTATTCCCTTCCAGACACCCACAGTGGGAACTGACTACACCAGGGGTGGAGTAGAATGCCACATTGCCTTCCAGGGGCCATGTGCTGGGGTGGGTGGAGTCAGAAGCAAACGTGGGCACGGCAATTAAACTTAACTTTACCTTTGTGCAGTGGGCTGGTTTCTACACACACTCACACACCCCTCTCTGTTCTCCATTCAGGCAAGCAATAGGTATCATCAGAGTTTGGGAAAACATTCCAGGAAAAAGCACTCACAGAGGGTGCAAAGCAGAGCCAGTGAAGGGGGTGGGCTGGGGAGAGTTTGGAGGGCTAAACAAAGAAGGAGACCCACAGGCCTCCAGTTCCCCACCCTTGGTCTACATTTTTTTTTTGTCTTTCTTTTTTTTTTAAATGATATTTATTAAAATTTCAAAAGAAAAAGATTACATTAAGAAGAAAATTAACAATAAAAAGGAAAAATACAAAATACAAAATATAAAAGGGAAAAACCAATTAAAAACAATTCCATCTTTTCATCACTTCTTTTACATTTACTTGTTTCCCAGACCTCCTCATACCTCCCTCTTTTGTATTCCAATTCAATTTATTAGTCCAGCGATTCCTTTCCCTCCTTTTTAATCCTGATCTTTAATCTTGATATATTATAACATTAAATTTTTAGATATTAAAAACCAATTTTTCCATATTCTTTTATACCATTACCGCTAGAAACTGCTTAACTTCAATCCGTCATCATTCTAACATTCATTAATTTTACAATATTTCTGTAAGTAGTCTTTAAATTTCTTCCAATCTTCTTCCACTGACTCTTCTCCCTGGTCTCGGATTGTGCCAGTCATTTCCGCCAATTCCATATAGTCCATCATTTTCATCTGCCATTCCTCCAGT